AAGACTCGAGGGCTCCCTGTATGCGATTCCATAGCATGGAACTGACGAACGACAACGTGACTTATCGAAAAGTATTGTCAGTTTCATACATTTTTAAAGTTCGTTACGAATTCGCTTCGGAGTAAACGCTTTGTCTAGCCCCGCTGATCTATTCATTCGACTGTTCGCTTTCGATATCGTGCAGTGTGTACACACCTTTACAGATTCAGTTAAAGTTTGCACTTGTGTATTCATAATAAATTAATCTTCAAATAACGCTTGCGGTCCCAATTCCGTATTGCAGCATAAACGCTGTCCTCCACAGTAAGCGAAACTTTATTTAAATGTAAGCACTCTAAAGATGAGGAAACAAACAAGTTTTTATACAATATCTTTATAATAAACAGATTGTACTCGTATATATTATAATTTTGATTTGAAGAAATTTCTTAAGTAGTACAAATATGTAATTTTGTAAAAAAATTAATTTAAAAAGATATACATAAGCTAGTGTTTTATGTGTTTCTTATTACTTTTTAATACTTATTAAAAATGTGAAATTAAACTAAGTATTAGCGAGATATAAAGGCTTGCGGTATCAAACTTGAAATCTCAGTCGTAACAAAATGAAGTAATAAAAATAAAAATTATATTACTTAAATAATAGACATAAAATATTTTATAGCATATAGCACGCGGTAGGGGTCCGCCTTGATTTAAAAAAACCGCAGAGCCAATTAAGTTGAAAAGAATTTTGCGGACACGAGAGTCAAGCGATCATTTTTATTTATCTGAGCGCACTTTCGACAGCCCCAGAATGCGGTGACTGTACTCCAGTGTAAATATTCCAGTTTATTGATCGAATGCTATCAAACTGTCCAGTGAGACAGTCTCGTCGGAATTTAAGTAGCAGCTTAAATATTAAGGTTCCTTACGCTGTGAACTTCAGTTTCTTTTTCTCAAGCATCTGAAAACCAGTTTCTTAATAAAGTTCTATAACGCTGTAATGACCAACACATTGGTGCGTTTGGCAGAAGAGTTTCTTGTTTCTGACAATATTATTCCTGATTTGGAAAATTGTACAGAACTCATTTGCATCTCGCTACTCACCCACGCCTTTATATATCCTTTTAATCGCATTTCTCAAACTGCAAATGTTGGGACACAAAGAGTGCCCCCCGTGTGCCCCCGTATGCAACCATCGAGCCAGTAAAGTGGTCAGGCTTATAAATAGTAACATAAGATGATAATCGCCGATGTTTCTGACCCGGCTAATTAGGGTACATATAGTGTCATTGATACCACAACCTCGTTCACGTTTCAATTTGAATTGACAGCATTCTTCGAGGAAATAATAATTTTTAATGTGTAATTATAATAAATACCGTTCAACCAGTTGAAACGGTTACTTTAGAGCGCATTTGCCAAATTAAAGTTCTTTAAGTTGAAGTTTTAAATGTAATTCATAAAACTGTTGCTCGCCTATTTATTGTTGCGTTGGTAAGTAATGTTAGGAAGAAAATCCGACACAGTGCCGGTGTACTGGTACAACACTAGCATTACTAAAATGTCGACGTTTATGTCCCCTCACTAATCATTCTGACACTGGACTTTGTAATGAAAGCGCGCCATTCGCGCCAAAGGATTCTAACTAATAATGTCTAAAATAATATGTGACACATTATTTTATCGTTTTTTCTAAATATTGTGAAAAGTCGCTGCAATTTTTAAGACAGAGCAAATACAGCTTACCTAGACGACCGACGACGACGATCTAAAGATGTGTGTACGGGCCGCGAACAACGCGGGACACAACTATGTAATATAAGTTTCGATGACCTTGACTTGTGTACAAAGGGCCTTATAGTTCTAATAGTAAGTTTATACGAGTTTCGACTTTTAGTAAGCGAATTAAATTCTTTAATACGTTGCATAAATTATTTCTTAAAAATTATTTTTTTTACACTTATTTCCTAATTATTAACAAAAACAAATGTTTAGTATTTGAGGTAGCAATGGCGAAGGATTTACGAAGGCAATAAATTTTTCGTATCTGATAAAATTTACGACATCGTATAATTGTGTTCTTAAAGCTTGTTTATATTAAAAACATTAGTTTTTTTCGTATATTAAAATTAAATAACGTTCATAATTAAGTCTATAAAGGATAATTTACCATGCAAGTTGTACACATATGTGGATTCTTAATAATATTATAAATGTGAATGTTTGGATGTTTGCTAGAAAGTATCCCAGGAACGGTTCGACGTATCTTAAACTGATATATAAACACGGCTATACACTCACGTATATTCGTCCGGTGGCGGCACCGACTAGTTTCGAGCCCGAGTTCGAGCTCATTGAGTGAGCTGAGGGCCGCGTCCGCGAAATAATACCAGTACCACTCATCCTGATGAAGGGCCCCCGATGGGCTCGAAACTAGTCGGTGGCGCCACCGGACGAATATACGTGAGTGATTGATAAGTGAGAGCCCTGTTTATATGTCAGTTCAGTATAATGTCTCACGAAAGTTTGAATAATTTAATCGACGTATCTTGATGAAATTTTGCACAGATGTAGAACATAATCTGGAAGAACACATAGGCTAACTCATAACGTTATTAGTCCCGCGCGGACTGAGTAGCGGGTGATAGCTAGTGTTTTTATAATTTCAAGTTTATCACAGTTTTGTTAAGTCGCAATACCTTAAATAAATGTTTTATATCAAATATTTCTTGGTGACATTTTAGTTTGCTTTATCCGATGTGTTACCAGTACAGCTGTCTCTATGCAAATTCGTGCCTTTCTCTTGCATTCCTCTGATTATGTCCGTGAATGTATCTTAAATGTCAATAGATCAATCTTCTAAATACATAAATTAAATCTTATTACGAAAGAAAAAAATTAATTAACTTTAATGCAATAAAAGTGGCAATATATAATTACTTCCATCTTTACAACTTAGCGTAGTTTATCGTGAACATATTTTTTAGAACACACTTTTTGTTTTTATTTCTGCTCTGCTCCAAAAATTAGTAGCGTGAAGTAGTCCTTCATCATCATCATCAGCTCACTATACGTCCCCACCGAGGGGCTCGGAGCCTACCCTTAGTTAAGGGTGATTAGGCCATAGTCAACCACCCTGGCCAAGTGCGGGTTGGTTGACTTCACACATATCTTTGAATTTCTTCTCAGATATGTGCAGGTTGCATCACGATGTTGTCCTTCATCGTAAGAACGTCGGATTAATGTACATATGTAAATCGGAAATGGAAAAACACATTGGTACTTGGCAGGATTCGAACCTATGACCTGCAGATTGCAAGTCGAGTGCTTGACCCCTGAGCCACCGACGCTCTAGTAGTCCTTATAGCAGTATTAATACTTACACAATTAATAATTAGGTTTCCAAATGCAATAATAATTTCTCAAATCCATACTACTTCCTACGATTTAAATATAGCCATTAGTTATAAAATATTTAGACAAAAATTGTAGTTTTAAATTTTAAAACATTCACTGCTATGATTTTTACGAACAAAATTTCCAACACAGTCGACGGCAGTTAACGTGTTATTTTTATATATGTTTAAGTAACCGTAATCATTACTATTAATGTGACTGTTAGTTTAAAAACAAGATAAAAAAGCGTCTCTTCCACCTACGTCTCCCATCAAAAGATATGGGAAATCGTCTCCATTTTTAACATAACATAAATCAGCAACGACGCTCGTGTCCCATTTTTTAATCATTAAAATATCTTGTCGTCTTCAAATAAATGCAAGTCTGACTTAAGATCCCTAATGTTATTCGTGTTTATTGAATTACTTACCATTTTTATCAATACTGTTAAGCTAAACTATCGCTTTATATATTATTATACTAATTGTCGCCCTTGACTCCGCCAGCGTGTTATTATAAAAATAATAAATTGTAGCCTAAGTATTCGTTGCGAGATCCGTTGAGCTGTTCCGTACCTATACCTTTTACCAAACATCCATCCATCTAAACATTCGCATTTATAATATTAGTAAGATAGTCATATACTCATTTGTTAAATGTATTCTACTAGTTCACTTCCAAGACCGAAACATTCGCATAAAGGTATATTTATTATCCTTACGTTATCCTTAAAAAACTGACGATTTAACATATGTGTGTAATGAAGTCAACTGCTGGCATCAGTCTTCTTTAACTAAGAAATAAAAAAAAACCACAAAAAAATATTTAAGTAATCATTTAACATCAAATGACCCATTTCATAGAGCGTCGGTGGCCCAGTGGTCAAGCACTTGACTTGCAATCTGCAGGTCCTGGGTTCGAATCCCGCCATGTACCAATGTGTTTTTCGATTTCCGATTTACATATGTACATTTATGCGACATTCTTACGGTGAAAAAAAACATCGTGATGCAACCTGCATATGTCTGAGAAGAAATTCAATGATATGTGTGAAAACCAACCCGCAGTTGGCCAGCGTGGTTGACTATGGCCTAGTCACCCGTAACTAGGGTAGGCTCCGAGCCCCTCAGTGGGGACGTATGAGCTGATGTGACCCATTTCATTGGACACTTTCTACAAACGAAAAAAAAAATATTTTTATAATATTAATGAACTTGAGGCACCTTCCTGAATTACAATATTAATTAATTCACTGAATTTTAAAACATTATACCACTTGTACAAATTTGCCAACCGTCTACACGGACAATTTTCTTTGAGATAGAATTTTAACAGTGTGCTTAAAGGAATACGGAATATATTCCTTTGTTATAAAGTTTATCGATTACATTTATATCAGACAGAGGTCGCGACGTCCTGATGACATTGTATTAATTGAAAAATGACTGTCCGACCTCCGGGCAACGTCTGACACACCAAATGTGGGAACCGATCCTTAGGACACGAGAGCCAAATGAAAGACGTCAAACAATTTAGATAAATTTTTATTCGTATATTAAATTTCATAGAATTTATAAAAATTTCTATATATTAATTATTAGATTGCATAATCAAAATTTTTCACAATAAAAAAAAACTAGAATGCAATCCCCGGGGTTATTGCCATGCAAAAATTAAAACTCGAATTTAAGATAAAATTCAAACCTAAAATCAAGTTTTGTACAGCAGCCGTACGACGACAGATCACTCAAGTTATACCTTCATTAAAATTCAATTATCGATTATAAAATTGTTGAAGTAAACATTATATAAACATAATCATACCAAATTGAATCAAATATAAAATTAAAACAAGTCAACGAGGCTAATGTCTAGACATTTAAACATGATTTAAATGATAAAAACAAAAACTGATTAAAAATTGTTATGATGTCATGCTATAGTACACACGCTTCAGTTGTAATTGTAAAATAAAAAGGTCATGCGTTAGAATTTTTAGTATATGTTAGTCAATAATATTCAAAACACGTTTCAATACAAAAAAATACATAAAACAACAAAAAATAATTCTACGCGACATAATGAAACGGTCAGGATTCCAGATGAAATTTAAAAAACGCGGCAACGTGTCTATTTGAATACTAGGTTTTTATTAATAAGTAATATCGTTTTGATAATTTCCTCTGGAACCTTAAAACTACACATAAAATAAGGTGGACGTAACAAATAATTTAAAGCGTCTCGTGTCACAAATTAAAGATCCTAAAAACTACAAGGATTGCAGTAAAAACGATCACAAGGTCTCAAAGATGACAGAATTAAAATACAAAGTTTACCTATGATCAGTTTTGACTGCACACTCTTTGCAGTTCCAGAAAATTCTAGGACTTTTGAATATATACACTTTAAAAAGTAACACGGATAAAGCGGCGGACTGGGACGATGTTTCTTCAATTTCTGCATTGTGCGATATATCTGAAACAATATAATTAAATAAAAATTAATCCTCAAAACCAAACAAAATAAACAAATAGCCACGAAAATTAAAACAGGCTGAAATGATTATTAATAAAAAAGTAAATAAGTCAATATAGTGGGACGAAGTTATCTGACCCGGTGGCATATGTGAAACTACTTCATGAAGATTTTCCTAATTCTTTGACAGAACTAATCGAGATACTAGCGCCACTCTTAGAGCCGCATAAATCGGTCGCACTATATAACATCAATCATAAAAGTCTTCCATAAACATAGACATAGCAAATGTCAATAAAAACGGAATCACAAAAGAGTCGGTATACCAAAGTCACGGTCTGAAGTGGGTAATGACGATGCAATGTCTACGCGGTGTTAACACTCCGTAATCCATTGTTGGTATTGACAAAAAGTCGTTTGAAGTGTACCCAGAGTGCTGCACAACACTTTCAATTTGATGTCATCAAACTGTGACGAATCAGACTGTGGGCCTCGGGGAGAGACTGACAGAGGATAGGATAGGGGGAAGGGTAAAGGGGGGGTAAAAGATTAATTAATATTTTATGACTGTGCGGTTTCATTTTTGCGGATCATAGATTGAGTGGAATATCTCATGTTTAGTTATTCGTGTTTCTTGAAATTTGCGAAGGGCACGTCCATTGTTGTAGAAGTGACGTTGTACTATCGTAAACCATTGTGTTGCTTTGCAGAATTATGAATGTTATTTTATTCACAATCTTCAAGAAAAAGTTAGTCTTGAATACTAAAGGGCACATACTTATGGCATGACAATAAGTTCTGTACCATCTTTATAAATATATTTTTTTATACTTTTTATTCGAATTTCCTTAGCTTTAATGCAAACTGCAAACACAATATAAATAATAAATCTATATATATAAAAGAAAGTCGTCTTAGTTACACTATTTATAACTCAAGAACGGCTTTACCGATAAGGCTGAAAATTCGTAAGAAGATAGCTTAGAGCCAGGAGACGGACATACTTTTTTGTAATTAATTAACATTCTTTTTTTCGAATTTATGCCTTGAAGAGCTGCTTTTTATTTAACTTATCTACATATTAAGTTTTTTATATACCAACGCGGACGGAGTCGCGGGCGACAGCTAGTGTATTATATATACCGTAACGAAAGTTTGTACAATACCGCGCATGTTTCCCGCGCCACTCCGCCGCATAGCAACAGCGATACACTATCAAAGTATAGCGAATAACGAACGTTATCAATCAGTTTCGTCATGGCCTCGATAGCGCCCACTCCGTGCCGTATCACAGAGCTTTACCCCATTTCTTAATCCTACAGTAGACCACCATTGTCTGATCCGCCAATATCATTCATTCTCTATACATACTAAATTAAAAGATACATCGACCAGTATAACAAGATACACGAGTTTGTACTGTACAATACTATCAGAAGACAGAAATACTCTGGTCATTGGTATTGCCAAGAATATCCCTTTCTGCGATTGCGGTTCTTGTCTATACGAATAATAATTCGCTATCGACCTCGTTGGTTATAGTTAAAATTCCTCGGCTCTGTTGTCCGTGACAAATTGTACGTATTTTATTGCTTATACTTTCATCGTAGTGATTTAATTTTATGCCTTATAAAAATACGTAGACTATTGAAATGTTGCTGATATCGGATACGTTACGTAATTTGACTTAATTTGATATTATTAACATATTATTTCACCTTATTTTTGGATAGAAAAGATCTTAAAAACGTCTAAAGATGTAGATTTAACAGTGTAAAATGTATTCCGACAAGCTCGGCGTTAGCAAGGCGGGTGCGGCGTGCGCGGCGGACGCGACCGGCGCGGAGGTTTCGGGGGGCGCGACGGTCGCAGCGCACGTATCGAATCTCCTAAAGCGTGAAAGACATGACGTTCGGTCCAGTTATGCCACATCAGGTTGAAAAACTGATTTAAATTAAGTACGGACTTTAACATATAAAAACGTTATTATTAATTCCGAAGAGTAAAAGCATGACTTGACGCTTCGTGCTGTTTAATTTTACACAAAATTCATAATACGATTTGACGGTTAATCTGACGTCCAATACTTATCAGATGCCTAACTATATACAAATTATGGCAAACAGCAGACATTCTCTTGCTTGTTATTTTTTGGTAACAATCATTAGACCTAAATATACTATACTGTGATATTTCTTCAAAATTCAAGACACGTTTCGTTAGCATTTCGTAATAATAATAATTGTCCAAGAACCAGTGAGACAGTAACACGGTTACCCGGTGCCTTCATTGTTACAGTTGCCAGCTGAGCAAAGACCGCGCTTTTGGGCTCGTGACGACCGATCTTGTGACGTAGACAACGCGCTGTGGAAACTTAGCAATCAAATGAAAACCGTGAAGAGTTTTAGTTATGCGTTTTGAGAAGAAATAAAACTAAGTATGTTAATATGATCTTGTGTTAAGGACAATGGAGACATTAAGAATTGTAGCAGTTCAATTTAATCTAAGGCAAGCCGCTTACTTATTTTGTTAATAAAATTGCTGATCAGTATGGTAACTGAGAACATTGTCAATCTTTGTCACTTATACGAGAATTCTTTACTTAAGATTTTTTCGTAGTATTTTGCTAAATCATTATGACATGAATTTTAAGTCACCTTATGATGAAAGGTCCTGGAAAAAATCATCATTCAAACAGTAAATATTGTAGACTGATAATAGAACATTTATTTACCTACATACATACATACATGGTCACCATTACTTAACGTATTAACTAATCGTTATTACTTTTCGAGAGAACTGTCATGATGTTAAATCAATCTGTTTTTGCTAACCGTTTCCTACATAAGGTGTTCCGATTATGAAAAGATGTAAGAAGTAGGTTTTATCCTAACAAAAAATTCCATCCGTAAACATAGTCTATGTCCTTAAAATCTAAAGTAAAATATTAGCAAAAGATATAAAAAAAATAAGCGATACTAATACCTTTTTGTTTATTTATAATCTGTCAAATATCACACGAATCCCTATATTTTAGTGGCATTGACTTCTTATCATATTACTAAATAACTACCAAAAACTTGCTTATGGAATTATCGACTTTATATCAATAAGATAAAGGTTAATTTAGTATATATTTATATACCAGGCCTAGATCTAGTAGCAATCACTATCACAGATATAAAAGACATCAGGGATATCTCTGAAGGCGAGCTAAAGCGGGCGCTACCGTGCGGCCTCCCTTATCGTCCGTAACTAATCGCCTGATAAATCCATTATCCATGCAATGGATACGGAACCCATACGTATCCGTTACTGTTACTTACCACTTAAAATAAACTAGTATTCTGAGATACTGACTATATTCGCAGAATGAATATCCGAAAAAAAAATACGACGAATTGACAAATTATTTAGACCATTAGCATATAAAATTTTTCCCTCACAATCTATGAAAATACAGAGATGTTTTTGTATACGAGTATGTTTCGTCACTAAAAACTAACGATAAGTCGTGTTTAGAACTTACCGATGCTGCAAATATCAAACGCGGCGACGGCGTCGGCAGAGGTTGACCTGAAACAATACACATATAATTAAAAATATATTTAAATAACATAGTACATACGAATAATTTCACTCTACTAATTATAGAATTATTAACGTGAATTGATTCAATGATATATAGATATAGAACATTGATTGTTTATAATAGGACTAAGCAAATTGTCAGCAAATAGTAAATTTAATTAATCATTTATAATATAAACTATTAAATCAATTTTAAAAATCAATGAACTATTAATGAGTTACGCTAATTCTAAACATTACACAGATCCTAAATTAAATGTCAGTTCCTAAATTATTTCGCACATGACAACACAAGCAAAGTGTATTCGATTTTTATAGCGTACTTCTCCCCAGTATTCGTTTAGTGTTTACACAACTGTCCACGTTAAATCTTACGATTCACACACAGAGATGGCCGAATGGATTCTTAGAATCATTCGCGAATATCTATGAGTACATCAAACTATAATGGACAACCACAAGACACTGAAAGCATCGGTCAAAGCCAAGGTTAATTTAGTTTTATACTCTACTAAACAAATGGCATTCTTCTTGTTTCAATATGTCATGCTTCAAAGATCATGTTATTAAATAAATAAAAATTAGCAATTGATTTAAAAAAAAGGAAATAGCAAATGTAACAGAGGGCATTGTTCTATGATTCTTGACGTTATAGCATCTTCGTTAAGAAAGATGTGTCTCGACGAGATACAGCGACACAATTCCAAATGAATCGCTGTGCAACCTGCTTTAAAATAGTACGCACCGGCTTACGCTGCATTGCAAATTATGCAAAGTCTGTCGCGAAATCAATAAAAGCCGATCCCGAGCCGACTCGGGCGCGGGCCAACCATTCATTAAACATAACGACGGCGCGCGCACCCGCCGCGCCCACCTCACCCCCCGGTTTGCCGCGCCCGTCGCGTCCGCCGCCTGCCGCGCCCCCCGCCCGCAGCGCACTGCGCCCGCTTGCATCACAGCCTCATTCACACATCGACAGTACTACGATACTACGCCAGAGTACTATAAATGGCGCTACATTTTGCGACCTATATCAGAACCTAACTCTCCGCAATCCATTTCAAAGTCTATTATCACGTCGTAAAATTCAAAATCCCTTTACAGCACTCAGTACAACACTTGTCGAGTAAAATGCAGTTTTATTATCTAGATAGGAGAGTCGATTATGGGGCGTGGATAGGTTTATATAAGGCCCTACTACAATGCAGTTGTGTCGAGACGTCTGCAGTGTCAGACGCTCCTATATTTAGAGATAAAAAGGTTCGCTGACTGCGGCCTGCACTTTATGCAACTGTGTGAAACTATCTTTAGTGTTTTCTTTTTGTTTTTTTATTTATATAGCGGCTTGGTTAGTGCATTGCAGTCGCGTCGCGTCGCGTCGCAGATCATTATAAATGTAATTGTTATCTAGGCGCAGCGGGGATGCCGACAATTTCATCTTTTACAATACATTGTTTTTGCGATGAACTGAATACTTAGTTTAAATATTTATCTAAATATTTATAATACACGTATTGAAGAAAGTTGTTTCATTCAATTTTATCATGTACAATGTATCAATAATGATGGAGAGACGACGAAAGACAATAAAAAAAGAATATTTGTTATGTACTAATAGAGCGACTTCATCTCTACACTAGTGTGAGAAATGATATAGACATCTCTCGTTATTCGTCATTTACCTTTTAACATCGCCCTTCATTGTATATAATGGCATCCTAAAGTTATAAGTTAAAGAAGACAGAATGGAATGATGAGAATTTCTTGTACGTGTTGATAGCGGCCTATATTCGTATCGTTGCGCAACTCGGAGGCGCCGCCTTGATAACGATATCATTAGATTGGTGACGGCTTAATTAGATATGCACATAGCAACTGAACGTTACTGTGAACCTGCTGATAAAACATGTTTTGCAAACTCATGTTCACATAACATAAAATTATAACAATTTTTATTGTAACTTTTAGGACACTCACACAAAATCAGGATCATTCAGTAATCCAACTCTTTTTAAATGATAAAGTGGCAAACGAGCCAGTTAAATTCGCCGACACCATATCTATACCCCCACAGAAAGTCTGTATTTCTTCTTCCTAATCGTCCACTACTCCGTCAAATCATAATGTTGAGATGTATTCATGGATGTATATTTTAATGTGTTTAACCGCTGAACGGATCTCGATGAAATTTAGCATAGATATAAAACATCGTCTGGAAGAATACATAAGCTACTTTTTTTTTTAATTCTGCACGGACTGAGTCACGGGCAACCGCTAGTAAATATAATCAAAGTTCTTTATGTATTCATTTAAATCTTTTTAATGTCATATAATCAATTTTTTGCGTGACCACATTTTGTTACAAGAAATGTTGAATCGACAATCAGAGTTCATTAACCTCATTACGTCACGTGATACATTACACCTCACGTATTATGCCTAATCACTTACGACCGAGAAACTTCAATACAATGCTGCAAAAGCAAATCGAAAAAAAAATCAAAAAACAAGGACACTAAGCTGAAGTTGAACATAAAGTTTGATGCGCGTTATACTGAGTTTAGTACTGAAGCTTAAATTCCAAATGGTTCACTAAAACAAACCAAAACCATATCATGTTCAATCAAAATTGGGTAAGATTCGATAGCGGTTAGCTGACGCCGCAGCGGCAGTTCCTTAAGGAGTTAATAATGACATGGGTATAGCACGAATTTCCTATATAAAAATAACTGAATAATATAATAACAATAACAATAATATAACAATAATATTATAACTAACAAATATCGTAGCTATTTATTATAATACTAGCTGTCGCCTTTGACTCCGTGCGAGATTAAAAAAATAACTTAATTAAACCTTTGTGTTCTTTCAGACTATGTCAAAAATAATCGGAAGGCCTTCTAACAAACAACCATCCAACTAAACATTCGCATTTATAATACTATTACGAGATAAGATTTATGAAACTGTCTTTTATAAATGAAATAATTTCTGTCATTTACGCTAGTGTAAGCACGCTAAGCGAATATAAAAACCGTAAATAAACATAACACAATGCATGCCGCTTTAATTCATCAAATTATAGCGTACCGTATATGCGGTATAATTTAATGATTGTATCCGAGATAACGCGCAAAGAGGGCACCCAGAGAGCTTGATGGTTAATAATGCAGATCAAAACAGCAACAGGAGTCAGCATGTGACAATTGCTACAACTCTGAGTGCAATTACCAAGAGCAAAGTGCGTTTTGCTCATAGTTTGCACAGCAAAGCCAATTTGCAACCGCAACCCGACATTATCTGTTTAGACGACGCGTCACGGTGTTATGAAGCCGCTAATGCGCGCAAGAAACAATGTTTACAAGATAAGCAAATTATTGTATTAAATAAGGTTAAGTGCGGACTGACCTTTATATGATAAATTTAACAAATATTAACACAATCTGGTTAACGATACAAGATTATTTAGTAAGGGTGCGCTTCAATTACAATGATGGGAGATGTAATTATCTATCGTAATAACATGGAGTAACTAGCTATCGCCCGCAAATCCATTCGCGCATATTTAAAAAAAAACGTAATTAGTAGCCTATGTGTCCTTCCAGGCTATGTTCAACATCTATGCCAAATTTCATTGATATACTAGCGGCCGTTGTGAAGATATTTTTTAACAAACATCCATCCAAACATTTGCATTTACAAGATTTAATTTAACAATAAAGTCATTTGTTTAGCTCAAAAGTACTGCTTTCTCGTACTGTCCTCAAGTGTAGACAGTCCAGTTGTGTGCATCAGATCAGAACATCTGAAGCGTCACGTGAAAACAAAGAGTAGACAGTATGCAACGACGGCAGCGGCAGCGAGCCGTGTCTAGTGCATTAATACACAATGCATTTGTTTGCGGCTATCGACGCCTGCCTAATGGAGCGTACGACGACCAAACAGCCTATCATTTTTACTATACATAGTACTTTATAGTACAGTGATGCATACTAGCGTTATTACACTTACAGAAAAAAATACTCTGTTCTTAGTATCAAAACCCTTATACTCTCACATTTCGTTTTTAGTAACACACAACACATATTAAAATGGTTATTGATTATTGTTTCAAGACCTGAAAATATATCTGATTTTTAATCACCGTCAATAAACGTGACTGTACCTGTGTACAGACAGACAGAAACTAATGTGGCAGATACGATGAACATATCTTACCCCTGTTATACTACACATAAGCAGGTGTAGTATAACAGGGGAGTACACTCGACATACTACAAATGTAGTAAGTAATAACATCGTTTTCTTTGAATACTTTTTGCAGTAGTATGGATATAAAAGATGTACATCTTGAGAATATTATTTTTCCATTTCTGTTTTTTTTTTATAAGAGAAGGGGGCAAACGAGCAGCGGGAACACCGTGGTGTTCAACGACGCCCATGGATGTCAGCAATACCATAGGAACCGCAGATGCGTTGCCGGCCTTTGAGATAATGCAATAGAGGAAATTTATGCTAATAGTATAAATAGGAAAGATTTTCTTATTTCTTAGTTTGCATTGCATAGGCCCCGAAACTACTGAACAAATAACGAAGTTATGTAACACGGACTTATCATTTTGTAATTTAATTTAAAGGCAAAAAGTAGTAATCTAATAAAAATAAAATGTAAAAAAGTAACGGTACTAATAAGAAATCAATGTAACGACCAGAAACAAGTCAGTCGACAACTCGGCAGCACATCGCGTCACATCTGTCAGCCAGAGAGACCGGGTTCGAAGCCCATCGTAAACATTCGCGACAGTTTCACCTCGATGTAAAAACGCGTAAAAAACTCGATTGGCTAAATACTCACGGAATCGAGCGGTACCTTTAAAACTTTATTGAAACGAAAGTCGTTTTATATCCGAACGATCCGCATACTTAACCGATTTGGAATCGAGATATTTGCGGGTTTTGTCCTTTCAAAACTTTTATACGAG